TCTCCCACAGGTTAATGACACACTCAGGACAAACAATGGCCACTTTCTGGGGCAGATCCAGGGAGGAGTGGGGGCTTCAGGGCCAGGGTCCTGGGTGTGACCTTCGGCCTGAGGGCAGGTGCAACTGAGGCCCCAGGAAGACGGGAAGGGAGGAGCAGGGTCCTGACATGCAGCTTGGCTCTCCCTGGAGAGCTGCAAGCCTCTGCGTGGCTGACCTGGGGGGGGGGGGCAGGAAGTTTTGGTAAAAGGAAGGAAAAAACCTCCCTTTCAAGGATGAGAAGCAGAGCAGGAAGCACCTGGGAGTGGGGTCTCAGGAGCCATCCTGTGGGCACAGGGAGTGGGGAGTTCCCTGACTGCTGGCCAAGGGCAGTGGGTGCCAGGACCCTGTCGCTGGCCCACCTCTGACACCCTGTCCCTCCTGCTTGGGTGGGCCTGTACCATCAAAGAGCCTGGGCCTGGTGCCCCTGCGTGGCTCGGTCACTTAAGTGTCCGACTCTTGGTTTCTGCTCAGGTCATGAGCTCGGGGTCCTGAGATGGAGCCCTGTGTCAGGCTCAGTGCTCAGTGAGGAGTCTGCTTCTCTCCGTCTCCCTCCCCCTTTGCATGCCCCCCACCCCTTCCTTGCTCTCAAAAACAAACCAAAACAAAAATAAAACCAAGAGCCTGGGCTTGTTTCTCCCGGCAAGCTGGGGGAGCCGGGGAGAATGGGCCCTGGGACGGGCAGCATGTGGGAGGGGCCCCCCAGGGACAGAATGGAGGAGGCAGCCGGGAAGTGAAAAGGACAAGTGGGAAGAGTTCTCAGGTGCTGGGTTCAAGGAGACACAGAGAGATCGGGCATCAGCCGAGGCCCAAGGAACATCCCTGGGCCGGGGTGTCGGAAGAAGGACCACCAGGTTCTGGTGGCAGCTGGGTGGTCCACAATGCTGAGCTGCGGGCCTGGGGGTCAAGCTGCACCGGTCAACAGTGATGCTGATGTCAGATAGGCAGAATGTGGACGGCCTATCTGACACCCCACCCTGGCGTTGTGCTGTACTGCCTGAGGGTTCAGGGTGCTGACAGGCCCTTGTGTCTCCAAGCCGGATAGGAAGGAGAGTGGAGAAGGAAGAGAAAGTGGACTAGGAAAGAGCCCAAGGATCCTGGGAGGAGGGACGCCCACTCCAGCTCCTGCTGCCCGTGGCTTGTCACTCACGGACACATCTGTCCCTACTGTTTGGGGAGACCTGCCTCTGTTAGCTTGACACTCTGAAGGGACTTCCTGTTGTTTGTGCCACCCAAGTTGGTCTTCTGTGAGCGCTTCCCGGTGCCGTTGGTCCCTGAAAGCATGACCAGACTCCCCCAGCCCCCCAGCACAGACCCTCACTGGTGCTCCCAGAGCCCTGGACCGTGGGTCCAGCAGGTGCCCAGCAGGTGTCCAGACATGGTGTTGACCGACTGCCGGCTCCCCCTGGTTCTTTCCCCTCAGGTCCGAGGGACAGCCCCTCTGGGTGGTGTTGTGGAGAGAGAATTTAAGCCCCAGCACAATGTGATTTCTTTGTAGCCCCGGGGGGAAAGAGCGGGACCGGGTTCCCACCCCAGCTCTGCTCCCTCCTAGCCACGTGCCGTCAGGCGAGTCCTGCTCCGTGACGCTGAACGAAGCTCTGTGAAATAGGGCATGTCGGGGGGTTGCGGGGGACCTCTCTGTGTAGTCCAAGTGTCTTCATGGGAATGAAGTCCCAGACCCACAACCCAGCTCTGAATCCTGTCTCGGGGCAGCCTTGGCCCCTAGCAATGTGAGCTCGGCAGATGCCTCCACGAGCCCGACGTCTGGTCCTGGGCCATGGGGCAGCAGCCTGGTTATCCACGGGAAAGCAGGACAGCCAGCACGCCGGGGAGCCCTGGGACCGCAGGGGTCAAGGACATTCTGAGCTCCTTGGAAGCATTCCACAGAACAAGTGTCTGGAACCAAACAGCTCACAGCCGGCCAGGTCAGATGGAGAAGCGGGGGACGGCCTTTCATCATCTTCATCGGCCCTGGCTTTGGAGCCAAGAGAGCATCCCAGCTACCCAAAGGAGCCAGGCGCCCTTCCCTCCTGGCCTCTGGACCTGCAGCTGTGTCTGGGAAGCCATGGCTTCCCGGGCCCACGCCCGACACCTTCCAGTGGGTGCCCTGAATGATGTGTAGTCCTCTGACCTCTCCAATTCCAGTCCCTCCCTTGCTATCAGAATGGGGGTGCCCCTTGTACTCCCAGAGCCTCCTGACCCTGATCTCACCCCAGGCTGTGCCTGAAACCAGGGGGACCGTCTGACGCAATCAGGGCCACTCACATCCGACCTGCGTGACTTTCCCGGGGGTGGGACCTGGGCTTGGCTCAGACTGTGGAATTATAGTGTCTGCTCAACCTCACAGCGCAATAAACATTTGCTTGTGGGTGGCAACAAGTACATTCAAGGCTCGTTACTTAAGTTAAATAAGGAGTGTTTTAGGTATTGGCCAAGCTTTTCTCAACGTGTAGCCATGAGGAATTAAACCCGTGATGTAGGAGGGAAGGTGGGACTGTGTTCTGGGGTGCCTGGAGCAGGTGGCTGTGGGCAGGTCATCCTGACACCAGGCCCACTTGATCAGTCCCAACCTAAACATGGTTATTTAAGCAAAGTGGGAGGGTTTTTTTGTGTGTGTGTGTTTTTTTTTTTTTAAACGAGGGAGAGCAAGAGAGCAGGGGGAGGAGCAGAGGAAGGATAAGCCAACCCAGCACTGAGCACCGAGCCCCACTCAGGGCTTGATCCCAGGACCCTGAGATCATGACCTGAGCCAAAACCAAGAGTCAGACTCAATCGACTGAGCCATCCCGGCACCCCAAGTGTGAGTTTTTAAAAAGCTAGAAGGGGCTTTACAGGTCATGCAGTGAGGGTCTACAGGTACAGGCCTGGAAGGCTTGAACTTTCCCTAGGTCAGACAGCTGGGAAGGCACGGGAGTGGGATCCATGCAGGTGGTGGGGCTCCCAATCCCACCTGCTGTGGACGTTGCAAATGAACTTATAAATAGCACCTTCTTCACTCTAGGGATTGGAGTTCTGTACCACATTTAGCTGAGAAAGTGTTTCATGGCTAAGTTTTGGAAACCACGGACCTAGCCCAGACTGTTCTGCAGATCGGGGCACATGCCCGGGGACAGGGACCAAACAGGATGCTGGTGACGCAGGGGTTTGTGGTGGAGGCACTAGGTCTGGTGTCCAACTCCCAATCCGGGGTGATCCCCAAGACCGTGTCTCCCCTGCACCGGGCAGGTGGCTCTGCTGGGGGCTGAGTGGCAGCGTGGTGGCCCAGGGGACCGATCTCAGTGCAACCCTTGCCCCACAGCTAGTGTGCAGTGTGCCCCATTTCTGAATCTGTCTTCCCCTCCATGCATCAGGACTGTCCCTGTATATTCCCCATCTCCCGTCCGAGTGAAAGGATCACATGCTGTCACTGCACTCCCCCCTCTCCGTACCTTTGGGAGGCAAAGTCACACTGTGAATTCATTCTGTAGCCTCACAAATCTGTGGGAGCAGAAAGGGGGATGGGCTCACCTTTCACCTCCTCTCACCACCCAGAGAAGGAACCCTGGGGGGCAAACCTGGCACAGAGGGATGCCGGCCTTCGAGCACTCCCAGCGTGCAGGATTCCAGGCAGATGGAACCTGCTACCTGCCAGATGGGCCACGTCCACGGAAAACACAGGCAGCCACCCCCAGAATGGTCAGTGCAAGGTCTCCAAATCACAGAAGGCATGTAGGAAGGACTCCAGGTTTCCTGAGCTCTGGCAGACCCACTGCTCACCAGGGGTCCGCCCACTAGGGAGGGGTGGGCTGGTGGCTTTGGCGTCAATGTCAGCCCGGAGGGACTCAGACTCAGGTCACTATCCGAGGGGCACTATGTTCACAGAGGGACCCAAGCTGCTCTAGCACCGCCATGTGGCTCAAGCTCCGGTTGTATTTCTGTGGCATGTCATCATGCATCCCTGGACCCAGGACATGGTTCCAGACTTCTTGCCCGTGGAGTGATTGCTCCAAACCACGGGTAACCACGTGTGTGCCATCCGATCGGTGACCTGAGTCTCACGGTCACTGGACCACGTGGGCTCCCCCACAAGACCTGCTGCACAGCTGGACAGCCATGGGCAACAGTGGCTGTCCGGGGGGGGGGGGGGGGGGGGGGGGGCCCCCGGGGCCCCCCCCGGGGGGGGGGGGGGGGGGGGGGGGGTAGGTGTCAGCTATTGAGAATGTCAGTTCTGCTCTTTGTAACTCACTTTAGTGAGTTTGGTGCCGGTGTAGACACCTGTTCTCATGAATGCACAAGAAGAAAGTTTTTCTTTAGTAAAGAAAAGAGAAACCGTAGACTTCAAGAAATGTTTTTATTTTGGCTGCTTGAGGACCTTCACTTTCAGCTTCCCAGTACTGAACACAGGCCAAGCTTTTCCAAGCGCCAGGAAGGGACTCTCTAGTTTCTTCTCATTTCCTAGTGCTGGTTGATGCCTCAAGACCCTCATCCACTCACCCACACGCCCCAACAAGAGAGATGCCAGGCAGCCGTGGGGCCAGAGCTCTGCACGAACATGCTCTGCCCAGAGCTGCCACCTCCCCTAGCCTCACGCAGGCTCTCGGCCCTATGTTGGCCCCAGACTGGCCAACAGTGGTCAAGGCTTAGCCGTGACCCAATGAGAAATGCTCTCACGGACTTCACACAACAGCACATGCGGTTCTTTAAAAAAAACAAACCCAACACGAACGGGAACAGGGCCGGGGAACTTGGAAGGGGGTGCGGAGAGCAGCTCACCTGTAAAGTGCTCTTCGGGGCCAGGACCATGGGCGGACCCCGGGAATGCACTCTCCCACGACGCCGGGGGTGTGAGCGCAGGCATGTGATGCGGTCTCCAAGCATGCCATCTGCGCATGCACACACACTCAGCATCGGTGTCGGGCCGTCGGGCGGGGGGACCACGCAAGGGTCAGGTCTTGACAGGGACATGCATGGACGGCTCCTCGTCTGGGGGGCGGGGGATGGCACGGCCTCACGCCGCCGACAGGAACGGGAAGAAGAAGAAGTCGAAGGCGAACTTGACCGCGCCGTGCACGGTGCTGCGCCAGTCGCGCTCGATCTTCACGTGCCGCCGCGCCGGTGACAGCTGGGCCATGCAGTTGAGGCAGCTGATGGCCTTGAGCTCGAAGACAGGCCACTTGCTGCCCAGGCGGCCCTCGAGGACGGTGCTGAACTCGATGAGGCTGCCCTGGCGCAGGCCGAGCAGCACGTCCTTGAACTCGCCGCTGGCCCGCAGCACGATGTCCTTGGTCACGTCGTCCTCCTCCGGGCCACGGGAGCCGTTGGCGCTGCTGAACGGCATGCCCACTGTGATCTCGAACTTGTAGCGGTCGAACTTCTTGATGTGGCAGGGGTGCTTGGCCAGGCGCTTGAGGCGGCAGAGCTCCTCCTCAGCCGTAGGGCCATCGCCGGGGCCGCAGGCCGGGTAGGCCTCGCCGTAGAGGCAGCGCAGCCAGTCACCCACGAAGAATGGCAGCATGTTGATGGCTGCCTCGGCGCTGTTGTCGATCTCCGTGACGCGCACGTACTTGAAGCGGCCCGTCCATGTGACCCGGTGGCCCTCCAGGTGGCTGCACAGGATCTGCGTGCGGGCCATGTTGGTCTCCTTCCAGGCCCGGGGCCCACACAGGAAGCTGTACTGTGGCCAGGTCAGCGTGGAGTTGTACACCTTCATGCCCTCCGAGCGGTACACATAGAACCAGCAGAAGAGCACAATGGCCGTGAGCCACACCAGGATGAGCTTGACAATGGAGCTGCGCGTCAGGGACTTGACCATCCCCAGCACCGAGAAGTTGGCCTTGGTCCACCAGCGGACCAGCAGGGGCACGCTGCACACCAGCACAGCGACGGCGATCTTGGTGAGCTCCAGGGCCAGGAACCAGCGGGCAAACTGCACCACACCCACCAGCACCAGGCCGGCCACCAGGATCGGGAGGGCGAACAGGAAGAGGCAGTAGCCTATGGAGGCACGGATCAGCCCCAGGCCGGTGGACTCGAGCAGGATGACCACGCTCAGCTCGCACCACATGAAGCAGACCAGGTAGGGCACCAGGTAGCAGTAGGTGCCCTTGAAGTTCCTCAGCTGTGCCATGCGGAAGAAGAGGTACAGCAAGTAGACGTAGAGCAGGCAGGGGAGGCTGACGTTCAGGACGACGAGGGGGCCGAGGGGCACGGCGAGGAAGGTCTGGCCCAGTAGCTTCAGGGGGTGCAGGTTGAAGGGCAGCGTGGGCAGCAGGGAGAGCAGGCCAGCGGCCACCTCGGTCACCAGGGCCCTCCTGGTATAGGGCTCGGCGGAGGTGCTCAGGCTCATGTAGCTGGTGGCCGTGAAGAAGACGGACACGACGGCCAGCTCTGAGCAGGGAATGTAGTCCTTGCTGGCAAGGGGGAAGGAGAAGATGACGAAGGCGACGGACAGCAGGAAGTGGAGGTAGGGCTCCAGGTGGTTCCAGCCGAAGTTTACCTCGGCCTGCTCCACGTCCAGGTTGGGCTCGAAGCGCAGGAGCAGGCCTGTGAGGGTGCGGAAGCTCTCCCAGGCCCGGCTGTCCTGGAACACCTTGAGTGTACAGATCACCATGGAGATGAAGGACAGGTAGAAGACGACCAGGGGAATAAAGAGGGCGAAGAAGTCGATGGTCAGGTTGCTAATGATGAAGAAGAAGATGAGGGCGTTGATGTGGTGGGTGGGGACGATGGTTGACAGCCAGTGCACGCCTGCCCGGGACGCCATGTCGATCAGGTACTCTTTGATCTCTATGACGGCGTGCAAGGGGTATTTGACCACCTGGTGGGGGTGGATGCAAAGATGGAAATCGGAAGGAAGTCAGCACAGGAGCCCCAATGCCATCCTCAACACCCTGCCAGCCACCTGAGCTCTGCTTGAAGCAAACAGCTCACCCTGGACCCTTTGTCCCAGCGGCTCCTTCCTTTGTCAACACCCTCTGCACACGGTCACATCTTCCTCAGGCTCTGTGGTCCGGACAGATCTTCCCTCAATCCCACCCAGTCCTGCAGGTCCTGGCTCCTCTCCTCTGGGCCCCTGGAGTCCAGCCCTTGGATCCCCTCCCGTCCCAAACTTCTGCCAGGGTTTCTAGACTCCTGCAAACTAGTGTCCCCTTCCAGACCTCAGGTACGTGGAGAAAAGCACCTGGTTCCCCTCTGCCCTCCCCACCCAGCCTCGCTGGTGGAGACCAGAGCCCTGGCTGCCGGTGTGGGGGTGGGGCTTGTGACCTGGCCACCCCCGCAGCAGAGGCTGCCTGGCCGAGCCTTGCTCCCCCCGACCCCCATCCTCTAAAGGTAAAGAAACTGATACTTTCAAACCCATGAAGGGCTCTGATCAGTCCCAGGAGCGGCAGCAGATACGGGGAGCCCAGAATGAGAGCTCTGTGCAACCATGAACAGGGACCGCCTGTCCTGTCATAACCAAATGGAGATGATTCACCTGTAAGGGGCCAAGGAGACGTGCTCACTTGTGGGAGGGGACCCCAAAAAGCAGCTGCCTGCTACCACCCATTCCACACACCCGTGCTGCTCAGAATGGACACCACCCCCCACCACGGCCACTCCTGTAGTCTGCACCCAGTGTGAAGGGCAGGCTGACCCCCAGACTTCACACAGCAAAGGACGAATGAGGGACATGAGGTTGGTGAGCAGGGGCCAAGGGAGGAGGCAGGGGGTTGATTCTGCCCCACACCTATGCACTCCATACCTATGCACAACTCCCCAAGGCGTCCACCGGGCAGGGCACAGGGAAATGAGAGAGGGGCTAGAGGTGCTGGTGCTCAGATGGTATGGCGTGGGGGAGGCCAGGGGTCCAGGCGTGTCTGGAGGGGCAAATGTGTGGACCCCTGACCTCACGAGACACTCACGTGTGGGGGCAGGGAAGCCTGCCTGCGGCCCAGAGCCCCTCGGAGGTGGGGGGATGCCCACCACCGCCCAGTGAGGTGGGCAGCACAGCCACTGCCTCGTCTGCCTGGCTAGAGCATGAACCCGGCCAACGAGGTGGACCCTGGGGGAGCACAACTGAGTGATCACACCCGGATGCAGCTGTCATTGTTCAAGAGCCTTGGCTGTCAGCTCAGGAGGACCTGGAAGCAACAGGATAGTGTGCTTTCCACAGATGGGAGGGCGCCCGGCTCACATGCGAGTTGGGATATTAGGAAACATGTGTGTGCACACTGTCTATACACATACACACACGTACACGTGTGAAGAGCTGCGTTCCCTCTTACACATTTGTGACAGCCCACTTACCCTTGTTCTAGAACAAGAAAGGAAGTGAATGATCGACCTCCCAGCTCAGGGGTGCCAGTGACCTGCCCTGAGCGCAGCACCGCCCTCCCACGGAACCTGGATAGGCCCTAGCGAGTGTCGGTATGTGCTCCTGTCTGCAGTGGGAGCGGCTGTGAGCAGACTCCTCCAGACTTCCCCCAGGAGGGCCCCCCTGACACAGACACAGAGCCAGAGCCTGCATGCGTGCAGCGAATCCTCGATGAGGCAGCCCCAGCCAGTGGCAGGACAGACCACAGGTGTCCCCTGGGGCTGTTTAGCTTTCTGCCCTCCTCTGTACAAGCAGCCCGTGCCTGAAAACCAAGGAAATCTGAAATCTGTTCTCCCCTCACCTCCTGAACCATTCACACCTCTTCTTTGAGCCCGTGAGGCACACACTACAGGGTGGGGAGGAACTTGAAAAGACAATGAAGCTTCTCAAAAAAAACAAAAAAAAACAAAAAAAAACCAATCTGGATGGAACTAGAGGATGTTATGCTAAGCAAAGTAAGTCAATCAGAGAAAGATCATTATCATAAGATTTTACTCATAGATGGAATTTAAGAAACAAAACAGACAAAAAAAGAGCATAGGGGAAAGGAGGGAAAAATAAAATAAGAGGAAATCAGAGAGGGAGACAAACCATAGGAGACTCTTAACTCTAGGAAACAAACAAGGTTGCTGGAGGGAGGCATAGGGTACCTAGGGGATGGGCATTAAGGAGGACAGGAGATGTGATGAGCACTGGGTGTTACATAAGATTGATGAATAACTGAACTTTCTCTCTGAAACTAGTAATACAGTATATGTTAATTAATTGAATAAAAAAAACAATGAAGCTTCTCGAATATAGTGTCCAATGGTGTCTGGCCTCTGCCTGCACACTGAAGTCCCTGGGCCACTAGGACCAGGGAGTCCCTTCCTTTCGGGGCCCCAACTCAGCCCCTGGTCGCTTCCACCCAAGCCCTACTTCTGGGGCCCCACCCAAATGGGAAACAGAAAATCTTTTCTGTAGACCAAATCCAACAAATTAAAACAAACTGTTCCCTGAGCAGGAAAGAAATTTTTAAAAAACAAGCAAGGGATCCATTCTGTGATAGGACAGCATCTGTGACCAGGCAGTTGCAGCAAGGCCATCTCAACCTGACTCGGCTCAGACCCGAGTGACAGTGTGCACCCGCGGCCTTCCCGAAGATTCAGAGTGAAACTGAGGATTTTTAAATATTACTAAATTGACTCTCGTGAGGGCTTCATCTGCCACGAAAGTCAGGAGCAGCGCGGGGCTTGGAGTCTGGAGGTGCCCGTGGGAGTCGTGGCCGCTCAGAGGCACCTAGCGCTTCGCGGGGGCAGGAAGACAGAGCATGTGCCTCCCTCCTGCTCCGAAAAGCTGGAACAGTCTTGGGTTTTAGAGACACCTGCTAGGATCCATCATTGCTTTTTCACAAAAGCCTTTTGACAAGACAAACTGTAAAGGCATCAAAGTACTCTGACAACTTCAGAAACTAAAAGAAAACAGAGCCCCGTGTACTTCTTGTTCGAATACTTTAAATCTCTTCCCCAAAAAGGACTCTCAGAAGTTTTGACAGCACTGAGCTTGTCACCTGTAAGTAGGGTGACATAATTCACCATCCCAACCAGGCTGCCTCGAAAGCAGGCACTGTTAGCACCAAGCCCAGCCACGAAACCTGCCCGCAGTTCCCCAGACTCACCCCTTCACCTTTGACCCTCGCTGGCCTCCTCTTGGCCAAGAACCATGGCAAGCACTTCACCCACCTTCTCTCGCATTCTAGGGAAACTAACAGCGTCCGTCTGTGAACACACTTAGCCCAGGCCTGTCCGAGAGGACCTGCGATAAAGTTGTGAGCTCCCTTGGTCAAACTCCTGGGTCCCCTCAGCCTGTGGCTGAGAACTCATCCTGGACGCAGACCCTGTCCTCGGGGGACCCCTCTGCCCACGGATCCCGAGTGAGGCCACCACGCCGGCCGCCCTGGGCTGTGGCATCTCCGTGCACCGTTTCTGTGTCGGCCTCCCTACCTGGAGGGTGCCCGATCTGAGCCTCCACAGCCAGGCTCCCAGGAAGGGCTATACCGAGCTGCCTCCACTGGGGGGACTTTGGCACACTTCCTGTCCCTGCCACTCCTGCCCGCTGGTGGCCAGGCCATCCCCTGCCCTTCTGCATCACTGATGGTCATCCATACACACTCCTGCTCAAACATGTTCAGCTCCGAACAAGGGCCTCTTAGACGACTAACTCCATGGGCCTCATGATGATTTGCCTGCTCGGGGCCCCTCGCGTAGACAGACCTGCCTGAGTCAGGCAGCCACGCTTGGGGAAATCAGGGCGCGCTCTGCAAGGTGGGAGAGCTGCCCTGGGGAACCCGTGAGAATATGGCGTGGACCACGGTGACCACCTGCACTGTAAGTCTCAACCATGGGACCGAGAGTGAGTGCTGTCACAGCAGGGCCGTGACCCACCATCCCTGGCTCTGCAGACTCGTTTGTGTGCCCTCATTCCTCACTGCTGCTGCTGCTTGCTGGCCGCCGGCGGGACCAGGCTGCCTCCCTTCCTACAGCTCGCCGTGCCTTCCTCGCCCCCGCAGACCTAGGTGAACAGCTACCCTGGCAGGATCCTCAGGGTCTCCCAACATTAGCATTTTGCTTTTGGGGGAAGGCATCTTTGAGAAACCAACCTCCATTCCATGCTGTAAATGGATCATTTTTCAAAATGACAAAGTCTAAGTGAAAGTCAGACTCCAGCGCGTGGCACACTGCCGCCCGGAGTGCTTTGCCCAGAAAGACTCAGGAAGGCTCACCCGTCACTCCTGAGTATGCCCGCCCTCGACAGTGCCCTTGGGCTTAGAGCCTGAGTGCCCACAAAAGGCCCCATTTGGGAGAACACATCCTGTCCTCCAGGCAGAGGGAGGGAAGTCCGGGGAGGTGTGGCGAGTGAATGACCACAGGGATCATCCGTACAGAGTGCGCCTCCCCCGACAAGCTGTGCAGTCCCAAAGGCTTCCATGTCACACTGGGGCGTCCCATCTACCCCTCTGGATAGTAGGTGGGGGCCCTAGTGGTCAGAGCCCTCTGGCGCACTCACCTTCAGGCGCAGAGGCAGGTCCTCGGGACTCCTGCCTGCCAGCTCATCGTCATCATCGTCCTGCAGGAACAGGTTGGCAGGAATGACGCCCTTGGCATACTTTTTGGTGATCTCCACAAAGTCGTCCAGCGCTATGTAGCTCTTAGCTGGGCCAAACAGAGAGGGGCATGGGGTCACCCCACACAGCCATGCCAGGCAAGAATGTGGCTGGGGCCCAGTGGAAAGGGAGGCCAAGCAGGCTCGGGAAGAAGCGGTTCTCTGTCCAGGACAGACCGGTGGGCAAGGACAGCCAGCGGGGAGAAGACGTGGGATGGCCTTCATCTCACCTCTTCTCCTTGGTGACAAGCTGTCCCTCCCCTGAACTTCCCTCTCCTCAGCTCTCAAGCCCAGGGTCTGCCTGAGCAGAACTGGCAGCCACCTTCCTGCCCCGTCCTTCAGCCCTGGCTTCTCACAGCCTTACTGATGGCCGCCCTACAGCCCCACCACTTACCGACCCCTCCACTCAGTATGCAGCCACTGAGGGCTGACCACGTGCCAGGCACCTGGCCCTAGCACTGGCAACGCCTGGGATCTGTGCATGAACCCAGCATGTGCCCCAGGCTGGGGTCCTGGGCTAGTGGGGTCACGCTCAACAAGGCCAGACGAGGCCGGCTGCTCGCCACAGTCGTGTCCATGTCAAGACTGTCCCCCAGGCAGAGGGCAGCTGGGGAGATACGGTGAGGGAATTAACACAGCAATCACGTCATAAGCGGGCCGCCAGCTGCGGGGCCGTAACTCACCACAAGTTGCTGGGGCCGCCCGTGCAGGGGCTGTGTTCTGGGCACCGGAGGCGCCGGGGAAACTGGGACCAAAGCTGATCGCCAGAAGAAATCAATAAGCAGCAGCAAGAGCAAAGGGAACCGTGTCAGGAATGAGGCGAGCACCCCGGGAGAAGGTGGGATGCAGATAAGGGGCTGTGTGCCAACATGGGGGGCTGGAAGGCATCCAGGGCTGCACCCGGGCCACAGGCCACCATGAGCTGGAGTAGCCTGGGGCAGGGCCTGCACAGATGGCAGTAGCAGGTGGACACGTGTGGCTTGAGCTGATGTGAGAGAGCCGGTAGAGAAGACAGGGCCCAGTAGCCTGGGCTAGGCTGTGCATTTGGTGTCATGGGTGGCCTGACACCATAAGACTGGCCACCAAGGCCTGCAGTGTGGACACAGCGGTGTCTGATGATGGGTCATCAGTGCCTTGGACAGAGCCATTCTGGTGGGATGACAAGGGGATGGGATGGGGAGCCAGGACAGTGACTGCAGATGCCCCCATCCAGCTTCGTTAGCAAGGGGAACAAAGAAACAGGGTGGCTGCTATGGTTGTGAGGGGTCCAGAGAGGGTCTCATACCTTTTTTGCTGAGGTGAGAGGAATAAGCCCATGTTCACAGGCTTTTGGGAATGTCCCGGTGGGGAGGGTCTGGGAGCCCGCACTCGAGGGGAGGCTGGCCTGGCTGGCTGACAGCCGGGCGGGGACCCCTGGATGGCACCATTCACACCCACCACAGTGTCTCTGTCCAGCTCTCACCTCCGGGGGGCCTCAGACCCATCCCTCTGAGCCCAGAGCATGTGGTCTTCCCCTGGACCCCAGGACTTTCTAGCAGTTACCATGTGCACAGGGAAGTTCTGAGCGGTTAACCGTAAGGGGACTAGGGCAGAGAAGGCGTTGCTGAGCCTCCTCAGGAGGCACCAGCCCTCCTCGATTTCTGCCCAGAGGAATCTCTCAACCCAAACACAGTTGGACCCCCAGCACCTCTGTACTTAAAACCCATCTAGAACCTTGGATTCCTCTGGCGTCCACCAGCCACAGGTGTCTCTCCATGTCAGTGTCCTACCCCGCTTTACATCCCCCGAACAGAGCAAGAAAGTCAGTCTGTGCCCCCGACGTGCCCAAGGCCCCGGGAAAGCCAGACTCAGGATTCACGGCATCACCAGAGCTCTGACGACACTTCGCGGACTGACTGCTCCCCAGCCTGGTGGGAAGGGGTGTGTGCCCCTCTAATCTCCCCTCACTGTGCACACAAGGGGAAACTGAGGCTCAGAGAGGAAAACCAGGCCTGCCTGAGGTCATGAGGAGGGTAGCAGAGTGGGGGAGGAGCCGGGCCACCTGTCAGCACGGAGCAGCCCCTAGGTCCCTCTTGCTGCCTCCTTGGTAACCAAGACCAAGAGTCTGTCCACGCAGCTGGGCAGCTGCATATGGATTGAGGACCTCTCCTAATTGGATGCCCCAAAGGCACCCAGTTCTGTGTGCACCCGTACTCTGCATTCCTCACCTTCCCACAGCCTATGCTCTGGGAGTCCCCACACTCCGTTGGGTGCCCCCTCACTGGGCCTTTGTGTGAGGTTCCCTCCCCTTGCCCTTCAGGGGCTGACTGCCTCCTCACCCTTGCTGACCTGCTCAGGCACATGGATGCACTCCCACACCACCCCCGTCTCTCTGTCCTGTGAGGACTGTCCTACTGTCCTGTCCTGTGTCTGTTCTCCCTCATACCATGAGCTCCCGCTGGGCAGGCTCCAGATCCCACTGCCCAGAACACTGACAGCCCCATGCCTGGACTCTGCAGCAAGGAGTAGACATGGTGCCCAGGGTGCTAGGCGTAATGGCTTGGTCAAAGGGGGTCATGGATGCAGGACGGGAGGCCATACTCACATTCGCTGCTAACCAAGCGTTCCAGCACCCGCCTCTGCTTCTGTAGGGATTTGGGGACCGGGCCTGGCTGTGCCCCTCCATCTGTAGAGGACAGAGCAGAAAGAGAATCAAAGCAGGCTGTTCCGGGGCACCTGGGTGGCTCAGTGGGTCGAAGCCTCTGCTTTCGGCTCAGGTCATGATCCCAGGGTCCTGGGATCGAGCCCCACATCGGGCTCTCTGCTCAGCGGGGAGCCTGCTTCCTCCTCTCTCTCTGCCTGCTTCTCTGCCTACTTGTGATCTCTGTCTGTCAAATAAATAAATAAAATCTTTAAAAAAAAAAAAAAAAAGCAGTTCCGGCATGCTCTGCAGCATTCTAGAAACTGGTACGTGTGCTCAAGGGGCGTCCCTCAACTCTGGGGACCACAGGGCCTGCGGCCTCCACACAGCCTCTGATGGGGACAGCGACAGCCACCTCTCGGCCCCCGCTGGGTACAGCCGTCCCCTCTGCCAATGCAGCCAAGGCAATAGACACACCAGTTTTTGATCAGCACAACTTTTCCCCAGACATCTCTGCCGGCATTGCCCTTGGCAGGATTTTCCCCTAGGAAAGATGGAGCTCTCCGGGCACCAGGCCTTCCCTATCTCCCCAGCCTTCGTGCTGGAAGGGGCTCCACAACGAGTCTGTTCATAGCTGAGTGCTGAGCCCAGACTGAAATATTCTGCCCTTTTGTCAACATCTACCCCCTGCCACACCCATAATCCTGTGAGCATTCAAGTCTTCCAGCAAGCATGCCTTTGCGGGGTCAGGTCAGGCAGGAGTGAGGCAACACGAGGGAAGATGTGCTGTGACTCAGAGAGACTGAGGGCCATGGAAGTGGCCTGGTTTAGGGGGGCAGCAAGTGGGGGCTGCTCTGTGTCACTGCAGGAGCTCTGGGGCTTTCCAAGGGTGGCCTTGAGCTCACCACATCAAGCATGGCTCCCCGGGGTGCTGCCCTCCGAGACCCAGGCCTCATGGATACCTCCACTGGCCCCAGCATGTAGTCTTCCCAGTCCCGGCCCAGATAGCAGGCTAGTGCCTGGAGGCTCTAGTCGGCAGGGGTCCTACCGGGAAACTCCAGGAGAAGGGCACAATGTCTAGCCCACAGCCTTCTCTGCTGCTCTGCTGTGTTGGCGGGGGGCCCCAGCCCTGGTGGACCTGAGAGGGCTGGGCGCAGTCCTGGGCAGAAATCACACCTGAACAGATGGAAGCAGGTGCTCCTCCAGTAATGGGGAGGAAAGGTCAGGTTGGCCCCGGGGGATGGAGAGGCCGCACCCAGTTGGGGACGCCCATTCTTCTGCCCCATCTGTCCTTTGGGCTGGCTGTGGCTCAGAAGGCTGAGGGAGGGCTGTGGAGGCCAGTGATGAGGCCTGCCTCAGGGAGGCTGTCTGAGCCACAGTCAGCTCAGTGCTCCTGGAACCTCGGGGACTCAGGGACCCAGGTCCTGCTGCATCTGTGTTACTCTCCCCTGGCTCTGTCCCTTCAAGAGGAGCAGGACACCATGAGAATGACAAGACCTGTGGCTCTGCCAGTGGACTGCACCAGAGCTCGGGCAGGGCTTGGGAAGGAGACACCAAGAACAGAATTATACCCCAGAAGGGACCCTCCCTGGGCCTAGACCCCCAAAAAGGTCCCTGGGAGCCCCCAGTGAGCTCCTGGAGTCTCTGCAGGGCTCCCAAAGGGAAGCCCTGCAGAACTCCCCCAGAGAAGCCCACGAGCTCCCTGGGAAAGGCCCGGGGCCCGAAAGGCTCGCGTACCGTGCTCATTGACCTGACCGACGTTCTCCAGCAGCTCGGACACAGCCACCTGCTTCTTCTTCTTGGGGTTGAGCTTCCAGTACATGACCAGGGCCGCCTTGCGCACGGCCCGCTCCAGGTCCGTCTCGGAGGAGAGCTGCTTCACCTCCTGCTCGTTCTCAGAAGTGATGCCTACGAGACCAGAGGCATTGCTGGTTTTGTCCCGCCTGCCTGGGTGCCGCTGGCGAAGCTCCCAGAGCCGGCCAGCTCTGCCTGCGGGGGCCTGGGAGGGGACTCACATGAGATGCTGTGCAGGCTCCTCGGGTCACCAGAGCAGGAAGAGACATCTGCCCCAAAACGACATCTCGCCAAAAACCCTGCCAGGACCCACACTCCAGATCACGCTCAGCCTGGTCCTTCAGTGGGCCCTTCCCCGGGGTGAGCCTGTGGGCGAGCACATGCCGGGCCCTTGCCATGCTCCTGGTCGGCCTCCCCCGGCGACCCCCCAGGCAGGCATGTGCTAGACCTCCTTGTGCTCCTGGCCCACTTCCCTGTCCAATTTCCTCCTCACCAGCACCCTTGGGAGTAGGCATGGCTCTCCTCATTTATAGATGGGAAGCCAAGGCACAGAGGCGTCCTGGCCAGCCCTAGGCCGGAAGTCAGAGACAGGCAGAATGACAGGGAACCATGGGAGTCAGACTCAGGTAACCACGGTTATCAGCCTGGGTGCTGCCCCTCCTGAGGCGGCTGGGAAATCCGGTTCCCGCACCACCGGCCCTTTCCCAGGGAGATGGAGACTCCCCACGGAGAGAGATGGGACAGGTTTCACAGGCTGGCCTATGGCCATCTTTCTCCCTTTAACCCCACTGTCAGGGTCATCAGTGCCCCCCCCCCCCACCAAGGGCAGTAAGACATGAGATGGAGGGGGTACAGAAGTTTTTCTCCTTCTAAACATCTTCCAAATTTTCCACCGGAGCACACATTTCTCTCAAGATCAGAAAGCACTCGGTGTGAAAAAGTGGGGGGGGGGGGCGGTACGGGGCACACAGGGACCCCCACGGCCCTCTGCAGCACATGTCCTCAGGCCTGGTCCTGACTGGGCTCCCTCCTGGCCTCTGGGAACTGTTGGGTGTGGGTGCACTGACACGCCCCTGCCGGCGCAAGGCCCTTCCTCCCACTCCACAATGGGAGGGTGGGCTGGTGAGAAATCCTCGAGGACAGAAAGCCTCGATTCTGTTTCCAACGGCATCAGTCCCATTTCCAAAAAAAAGAAGATTCTATATAACACATAACTCTTAAAAACATTCTGATGCAAAACCAGAAAAAAACGCTTGACACTATAGAGCATTTCTCTGGGTTTCAAGGTTATGGGTAATTTGTATCTTTGTTTTCTATACATTCCAAGTTTTATATAATATCCATAAAACACCATCTGGAGAAAATCATTAAAAAAATACTTTATGACACACGCTACACGCTTCCATTTTCCTCTGAGGTTTGAAACTTCCAGAAGCACACTGCTCCATGGCCGCAGGATAATGGAGTAAGTGACCGCGAGTGGCCAGGCTATGTCTCACTGGTCCCCACCCCCACACCCGTTCGCTTCCTGGCAGTGAACGCACCTGAGCAGGTCTTCACTGGCCTATGGTCCCCCAGCCGTTCAGCCCAGACTGGAGGCAAAGTCAGCCCCAGAAGTTCCATCCTGACCTTGGGCCACTGTCACATTGTCCTATTGTGCCCTGCTGAAGCTGACCGTCCACAGGCTCTACGATGCACTCCTTGATCTGCATTAGAACCCAGAAGGGGTCCACTGACAGACCAACACAGACCGAAGAGGAGGACAGCGGCTTTGCCAGCGAAACATCCCACGTCATACTCCGGAAACATCTTCGGATCAAATCCACAGCGGAACAGAATTTACACCAGCCGATTTAGCAAGCAGTGCATGTCCCTCAGGGGCTGTGCCTGCCCCAAGCCTCCCTTGGACCCACCTGTCCGAGCCTCCCGTGGACCCACCTTTCCTGTCCGCCAGACACCGACGAAGAAGCTTGACGGCCTCGCGCCGGCCCTGCTTTGCGGCGAGGATCAGCCAGCCCACGGCGGTGCAGTTGTTCAGCTCCTCATCTGCGTTGCCCGCGAGCTGCAGGTAGTGTTTCCCCACCTGCAGCAAGAACCCGGTCAAGCCACACTCCGCGGCACCCCCCGTGTGCTGCACCAGGGCTCCTGCTCTGCATCCTGATCCTGACCTGTTTCCCAGACTGCCCCAGCAGTCTGGGGCTTCCCGACCCTCTTCTGCCCTGTCCTCCTGGCCAGCCTGCCTCCCCCACCCAGCTCGCCCAGGCCAGGAAGACAGGGGGTGGGATCGGGGCCCCTGGGGCGTCTGCCCCCAGCGGGCCCTGTGGGACCCTCGGGGCCCTTGATCCTCAGAAAACTGTGAGGAGTGTGTGGGCCCCCCTTCACAGATGAGAAGACGGGGTGCGGGGGGCCGGGGCACTGAGGGCAGACAGGAAGGAGGGAAGGCATCCCAGAGGAGGGGGGCCAAGATGGGGTGTGAGCTGGACAAGGGCGAGAACACGGGATCTGCAGAGGGTGGTGGAAGGCAAATGACACAGAGAACATGGGAACACAGCAAACAGGGGCCCGGCATCCCTGCTCCCCGTTCGCACAGCACCAGCTTCCCCCAGGGCCACTGTGCAGGGCCTGTGGGCTGAGCTTCCCACCGACACATGGTCCTCACCTCCGTCTGTGCCTTGGGATCCCCCGCTTTGGCCTTCTCCAGGACTTCTTCAAAGGGCACTTCCACATCTCCCCTCACGGGCCCTTTCACACAGGAGAAAAGCACACAGAATGTCACGAGGCTGGTCCTTGTTGCCTGTCTGGGAGTGGAGGGGACTACAACGTTGAATGGGCTCAGACCCAGGGCAGCTTGTCAAAATCCAGGTCAGACGCAGACAGAATATTCCAGCACGCTGCCTTCCAGTGATGCAGACAGCCCCAGAACATGGACAGCAAAACTGCTACGGAGGGGAGCAGCTCAGAGCAGCAGGAAGGACGAGGATGAGGGGGCATAGACGCCAGTCCCACCCTCACCCCCGAGCTCAGACCTGCTTGAGTTGGGCTCTAGAAAGATCCCAGGACTCCGGCGTGAAAGCCCCTGACCTAAATAAACACCTGTGCCCCAACAGACGAACCAAATCCATGTTTTCCAAGACTGCCATCTACATGCACATGAGTTCTGGAGGCCACGATCGGAGCGCGCACACACGTGCATATATGTTACATTTACGACAGTGAATCATGATCAACTTCCCACATTACTCTGCAGTGAAAGGCACCATCCCCACAGTTCAGAAACCCGTCGGAGGTATGTGCTCAGGCTGCTGGGCCTCCCCACTCCGCTGGGCCTTTGCATTATTCCCAACACTCACTGATTTTATAAAATGGGGCCACAAAACCACTCTGTGGATATATTTTCTTTTCGGGTCATTCTCCCAGTCAGTCCTTCCGGTGTGTTACTAGGCCCAAGGGCCCAAACATCATACAGCTCATACTATAGTCTACTTTCTAAAAAGTTATCCTGAGTTACGAAAGTATCATGGAAATACACCGACTTTACAACCTTACCAGCAATAGGCAGCCTAATGATAAAAAATTTAATAGTTATTTATTTATTTTTTACCAGTGTCTGCCTTTGCTTTATACAACGAATATGTGGGGGCCTCCGTCCTGCCCCACACCCCACCTTGGCAGGTCCTAGACACCTCCAGGCAACAGAGAGCTGTTTATCGCTGTGACTTGTCCCCAGGACAGCAGGGCCTCAACGCTCTGTGCCTGCTCACACTCCCACATTGGCATCGGTTCTGACGGTCCAGCTCTGAACCCCAGCACGCTCCTGCAGCTCCAGCCGGAGACCTGGGAGCCAGCCTTGCTTCCTCTGCCCTCATCTCCACCTGCCCCTCGGCCACCACTCTGCCTGGCAGCTGGGGTTGCCTCCTTTTTAATGTGACACAGAGCATGTCTCCCTCTCATTTAGACCCTCCAACGCTCCCCCAAACACCCTTCTCCTTATCATGACCCTCAAGGGCCCGCCTGGCTGACCTCCTAACCCTGTACTCTGACTCCTTCCCAAGGGGCCATCAGTCTTGGAGCCCGGAGTCCAGCACGGCCCCACACCGTGCAGGTCCTTCTTCATGTACTCACCTGGGATCCCTCCCGGAGGGAGGCTGTGGCCCTGCAGCTGGGAGGCCTCATGGCACTGGCAGTCCTGCTGGTGATCCGCCCTCGCCCACCGAGGTCAGCAGAAAGGGCGCCTCATGCTCCCCAGGCCCCCATAACATCAGCTGTCCTCAGCACAGCGCCTGCCCTCCAGGACGGTTGTTTGCTTCTGGCTCTCCCAGGCCCAGGGCTCCTGGGGGGCAGGGCTGAGCCTCACCAGGGTCTCCAGCCCAGCTGTCTCTGCTTCAGTCATGCACTGGGCTCTCTGGAGAGATAGCCCCAAGCACTGGGCACACCGCCCCCGCCCCCGCCCCCCCCCCTCCCCAGTAAGCAGAGAGTCCCTGAGTGTGTTCAAATCTCGACCTCACGGTCACCGGCCAGTGTTCCAGTCTGAGTATGTTGGAGAAGCAACAAGTTAATCCAGATATAACCTAAAGTGGGGCCTGGCACGGAAAGCATTCCTTCTATACTCATGCTTTGCGACCTGTGGGCACCTAACTGGGGCTCGCTACACCTTTGCAGACGCACAGGTTAGGGATCCAACACAGGCCCATGAAGCCCCTCCCTGGGCAGATGTGCTCTGGGTTCTGCAGGGCCAGCAGGGCAGGGCCTGCTGTGTCCGCCTGTGACCGGCGATGGACCCAGAGCAGCACAGCCTGGATGTGGGTCTGGGACCCCAAGATGGCAAGACTGCCAGGGCCTGCTTCTCTCCGTCTTTTGGGGGGCGGAAGGCAAACAAAGCTCTCGGTTGTTTCCTGACTCCCACCCGAAACTTGTGGTCTCGACACTACCCTCCAAGGAGAGTCTGCATGCTCAGATTGAAACCAAGTGTGTTTCCACTGGTTTCTGTGCCCTGCAGCAGTGAGGCATCTGTGGCTGGGAACCCAGGGTCAGGACCCCTCGTCTGCCCAGAGGCCTTGGAAACAAAGCAGAGAAATGGCGATCTTTCAAGGAGATGCAAAGATCAGAAGTGCCCAAGGAGTGGGTGAGTTTCTGGAATGAATGAGGCACTGGCCTGACGTGAACTGCACAGGGGAGACTCAAGCCAGCTTCCATAACAGCTCCATCTCCCAGGGGGCCCAGGTCACCTGTGGGCCCATCACTCAGCAGCTGGGCATTTGAGCAAGTCTGTGCCTCAGTTTCCTCACCTCTGAGTGGGGCAACAACAGAGCTCCCCCCCCCAGGTCATTGTGAGGGGATCAGATGTGGCCCAGGGAAAGCCCTGAAGACAGGGCCGGCCACACGGTACACACAGATGTGCACAGCAGGTGCCCATCGAGAGCTGGGGGCTTCTGCACAGGCAGCATGGCTAAGCCGGGGGTGGGCATCTTAAGCAGCAGCCTCTCTGGGGGAAGGAAAACACGACAAAGCCTGGGTGAGCTGGAGAAATGGGAGGGGAGGTGTGACCAGGTGGCAGTGGGGGCTGGCCTTCCTCAACTCGTCCAGACCACCTGGCGGAACGAAGCCTCCTCTCAGCAGCCTGGGACTAAGGGAGAGATGGCCGAGCATCCTGCCTGCTGCAGGGGAGGCGGTCAAGAAAGCACCCCCCAACACACACACGACACACACGTGTACACGACTAGCATGCGGCATGAGCCTCCCTTGGGGGAGAGAAGGAATCTGGGGCATGCACACAGAAGCCAGACATGCATGGCCCTGAGCTAATATGAAGACCAGTCACCAAAGAGGTTCTTGGTGGGTGGGGGTCAAAAAACAGCGGGTGCCCCTTCTAGGAGGGTTGAAGAGGATCTCCGTGAAGGAACCAGGGGGTCAGGCTGCTTGGTAACATGAAGCACAAGGCACCCACTATCTCGGGGCCCCAATGCTGGGTGCCTGCAGGGGACGAAGGGGCCCGTGCTAAGCATTAACGCTCCCATACATGCCAGGGCCTGAGGAACGTCTCCCCGAGGCACATGGTCCTGGCACTGGTGTGATCCCCATGTGACCCCACAGGGCTGGTGTGGTTGTGCCTACTTTACAGTTGCAGAAATGGGCTCAGTGTGGCCTCCTGAAGCCCTCAGAGGCACGTGGCTCAAGGGCCTGGGCCAAGACGGACCTGTCTCTGGCCCTCCCTGGGCCACTCAGAGCCCTGACAGTCAGTAACAATCCACGGGGACAGACACGCACTCCAGGGAGTCCCAGCTGAGAAACATTCCCGGAGAACTGGCGCTGGAGTCACCTGCAGAAAGCGTTTTATAAGCTGTCGGTTTCAACACAGTGAATCACAAAATCCATTTAACTGTCCACAAGCAGCATCGCTTTTACAGAAAAGGCACCGAACGGATCAGACTCCTCTCACGCAGTAAGGAAGAACGGTGTTCGGGAAATCTCTGTTCCCACTGAGTGTGTGTGTGTGTGCGCGCGCACGTGCGCCTGCATGCGTGCGCATACACACGGGTGCACAGGCACCCACATCAGGTGAGGATGGCACAGCGTTTCCTGCTGTGGGTCAAGGTCAGGAAGTTTAGGAGGCAGTGGGGCCCTCAGGATGGGTAGGATTTCAGCAGGGGCGGGGGGTGGAGGAGGGCACATTCTGGGTGGGGCAAAGGGAGGTGGGGAAGCATGGGGTGGACCAGCGCTGGCGTGCTGGGAGATGGGGACCTGGTGCTCAGGGTGGGCCTGCACGATCCTATCTGTAATCAGAGTGAACAGCCTACACTGCGGGGCTGGTTCCGTTGAGAGTAAGACATCCAGCATACTGGAAAGCCTTGGGTAAAGTACCAGAAAGAACACTGCCAGTACCAGTGACATTTCCCACAAACATCAGAGCCAGAGGCTTGGGGCCCTTCCACCCACAGGAGCCCCGGGAGCCTGAAGACACTCAGACCAGGTCGGTGCTCCAGCCCAGGGACCAGTCCTGCGTGCAGCTCCCTCCTGGCGTATCTCCATCATAGGCCAGACCCATAACCATTATCACCCTGAGCCCTCACTTTTCCGCTCCAGACCGGATTCACCTATGACACCCATGGCCACTCAGGGCCATGCTCAGTGGGCAGGAGGTGGACGGAAGATGGACCAAGCCCTAGCACTCCTGCCTGAGGGTCAGCGAGGCAGTCGGTCCCATGATCAACTGTCCTGTCCCACTCTGGTCCTCACACCAGCTCACCTCTGCCCCTGGGAGGTGCCTCCGGGGAAGGCCTCAGGGAGCAGAAACCTGAAGAGGCCCCAGAGTGCCAGGGGGCAGGGCAGCTCTTAGCAGTCCAGCTTGGGGATGGAGGATGATCCCGAGGGCACTGGGGACCCAGGCCTAGGTGCATTCCAGGGTGGCAGCTGGCCCCTGAGGGGAGTGGCCATGTGGGTCCCCAGACCAAGAAGAGCTCCCTGGCCAAATGGCCCTGAGGAGTGGCCATGATGGGCAGGAGACCACATGGGCTCCCCCGAGCACCATGTGGGACCAGGGCTGGGGTAGTCGGGGAGAAAGTCTTCCTCTCACTCCACAGTGCCTGGTGTGGAACCAGCCTGGAGTGTGCACAAATCAGTGCTGGAGCCATCAGATCGTAAATAAAATAGGGAAATGTGACTTCTGCTACCACCCAAGTCCGTGCATCAAGAGCAAAGCCCGCTGCGCAGGTGGGAGCCCAAGGCACCCAGCCCACAGGAGGAACCAGGCAGGGCACCTGGGCCCAGGACTTGCTGCCCACCTGGCTTTCAGCCCCAGCCCCTTACCTGTTCGGTCTGCTCTTTCTCGGCTCCGAGCACTCGGGGCCCGAGCCAAAGCTGAGGCAGCTGTGTCTCCCACGTCTGGTCCAGGGCCAACCTGGGGTCCAGGAGCTCGGGGCGCCTCACTCTTGTCCTGCTCCAATGAGGCAGTAGCATTGAGCCTCGAGCGGGCCTGGGGCTGCAGCGACGGAGGCTGTGGGCCAGAGGGGCTGGCAGGGGGAGCACCAGGGTCCATCCTGCTGGCGAGAAAAACCAAGGGTCAGACGCACAAGGGCGGCCAGGCCCAGCCTGCTCTGGCCTCGAGTGTTGGGCAGAAAGGGGACAGAAAAGAGAACCGGGGGTGGGGGGGTGGGGGGGGGGGGGCCGGGGGGGGCAGTCGGGGAGCGTCTGCCTCTGGCTCAGGTCATGATCCCAGGGTGGGAAGCCTACTTCTTCTCCCACTCGCCCTGCTTGTGTTCCCTCTCTCACTGTCTCTCTCTGTCAAGTAAATAAATAAAATCTTAAAAAAAAAAAAAAAAGAAAGAAAAGAAATGGGGTGAGGGCCGCTTCATGCCCTGTATGAGATCTCACTCAACCTCACGGCAGCCCCAAGACCATGCCCATTTCACAGATGAGGAAACTGAGGGAAGAAATCCACTCAAGGCCTCTGGCTCAACGGGCCCCATCGCAGTCATGAGCTTGGGCCCTATGTCTTCAGGCCTGAAGTCCCCTGCCTCAGCAGGCACAAGCCCTGTGACCTCAGTGTCCTTGCCTGAGCAGCAGGGACGGTGCAAAGTTGTTTGAGGGTCCGGTGAGATAATCCACACGGGGCACTGAGCATAGTGCCTGGCTTGGGGAGCTGAAGTGTGGCCTCCACCTTGTATGTCCCCCCTCCAATCTGTGAAGGTGACCCTACTTGCAGATGTAATTAAGGATCTTGAAATGAGGTCATCCTGGATTAGGATGGGCCCCCATCCAATGACCAGTGTCCTGAGAAGAGGAGGGAAACACAGAGACATAGAGAGAAGAATGTCATGTGAAAACAGAGCATGGGACAGGAGGTGCGGCTGCAAACCAAGGGCCACCAGGGGTCATTGCCTTCACCACAAGCCAGGAGAGAGGTGGGGAAGGATGACCTCTCAGAGTTCCCAGAAGGAACCAACCACAGAGTAAGAGTTAAATGTTAGCAGGTAAGTGAAAGGAGAATTGGATGCAGGGGAGAAGGGAAGGGGTGGGGGCCCAGGAAGGGGGGAGGCAAACAACCCATGAAGCCAGGATTTAGGCAGATGTGACCGATGGCAAAGCCCTCTGTGCCAGGCCTGAAAGACTGGACAAGACCCACCAGGCTTGGATGCCACCAGACATGAACATGCACTAAAAGGCAGAGCGAGGTGCCCAAGAACAGAGAATGGACTGGAACAGACTAGAGAGCCTAGTGCTTCTACAGCCCTCTCATGACAGGGAAAGGGCTCAGTCAGTCAGTAAAAGGGACCTCATGTGCTGATTAGCAAAATGGCAGAAACCACCACTGACACAATGGAGCCGAAAGCTCTGGGAGGTGCCCCAGCCCCAGGATCCCCAACCTGGGGGCCCTGGATGGGTTTCAGGAGACAGAGACCCCTGAAACTGTCGGGATGACATGTGCACTGGATGGGGGACCCGGGTGGCTTTTCCTTAGACTCCAAAAAGATGCTATGACCCTCCCCAGACTCAAGGCCACATCTGTCCTCTTCACTGAGATGAGGAAAGCGAGCACAGAGCAGGGAGAGGCTGCTCATGTGGAGACCTGGCCCCGTGCCCCCCGGCTCTGTGGTCCTGAGCAGGCCATGCCCCTCTGCTTCCTCCACTGTAAATGGGACAAGTCAGCTCACGAGAGGACCCCGTGAGGACCAGATGAGAGGACAGGCTGCACACAGGGGCCAGGCACCCCCAAACGCCCAGCACCAAGCCCCAGGCCTGCCACAGTAGGGGCCCCTTGGATGTTTCTGGAGACGACGGTCACAGGAAGAGCTGCAGTGGCCCCAGGAGCCACATGCCTGTTTCCAGGGGCTACACAACCAGGCCTGCTCTGTCCCCAGCCACAGTGGGTCCTGAAGATGGGATCTGTGTCCGCCAAACAACCCCATAGATTTCAATCTGGACATTCCTCCGTCTGAAACACTGAGTCCTTATTTTAAAACATCCCCCAGGGGCAAGACAAGAGCACGGCCGAGCCACGTGAATCTGCCTGGAAATCAACATCCTGCTCGGTGCTGTTTCCAAACTGCAGGCTTCAGGGAACCCAACCAAGAGGCGGCTTCTATGAAACTCGCCATTCAGCTGCACGTGTAGACCAGAGCGAGCACGTAGCCAGGAGTGGGCCGGGGAAACCCGCGGTGACAAGCCACACGGAACCAAGTCATGCGGAACACCCACCCCTGACCCAAGATAGCCAACACGTCAGTTCTTCAGACCACATAGGGCCACGTCCTGCCAAGCCACCTCCCCTGGCCCGCTGCCCCCAGGATCAAGAGCCATCTCCTCGGAACAGCAGAGTACAGCTCGCCTTGATGAGAGCCAACGTGCACCGCCGCACCTGTGTTGGGAACAGCAGCAGGAACGGACGTGTATCTGGGCTGTGCTCTGCTCTCCACGCTTCCAGTGCATGTTCTCGGGGGTGGGGGACTGCACACAGTGCTGGGAGCTGGGTACCACCACTGGCCAGTGTGACAGGCAGATGGGTGGCTTAGCCTTCAATCCTCACCCCGTTTCACAGACAAGGAAATGCGGGTCCAGAAAGGTAGGATACGTGCTCGAGGCCACACAGCTCACGGTGTCAGAGCTGGAATTCAACTCCACAAAGCCCATTTCTGAAAAGGGGGCCTCTCACAATCCAACCCCAGCCTCGAGGCCACACAGCTCACGGTGTCAGAGCTGGAATTCAACTCCACAAAGCCCATTTCTGAAAAGGGGGCCTCTCACAATCCAACCCCAGCCACGCCTGCCCTTCTCTCCCTGCCCCTCCCAGAGCTGCTATGTGGCCTGCGCCGGTGCTCTGGCAGAGAGAGAGCCCTCCTCCCCCAGTGCTGGGGCCCAACGTGCCTCCTTCCTGGGAGTGTCCCCGCTGCCTCTGCTGAGTCCCATCTCAGGTAGAACCATCCTCTACCAGCAGACTCCAGGCCAGGGACAGTGTTATCCCTGGCCAACGGGACACAATTTTACTAACACGTGACATGGGGAGTGAGTCCCAGTTTTACCCAGGACCTGCAGCGACTAAATCTCACTCACTGTGTCTCAGTTTCCTCATCTGTAAAATGGGAAAAACACCTCCCATGGAGGGGTGCCATAGGGATTAAGGGCGTGAAAGAAGAGAAAGTAATCTGCAAACCATAAAACATTAAAACGAACAAACAACCAAGCAAGCAAGCACACCCAAGCTGGTCCTCCCGGGTGCTACACCAGGGTGTGGTCCGTTGAAAAACACATTCTGGGAGGAACCACAGGGAACCACGGGTTCTGGGTGGCCTGTGGGTTAAGTATTAGGCATATCATACAACAGTAAAAATAACTGTTTTAAGTAAAATCTCTGCTTAGTAAGAATGGAAGAATAAAAGAAAATTAATTTTCGGGGTCTCTGAGAGTTGCTTAAGCCCTTTGGGGAGAAAAGGGCTTATTATTTACAAACGAGACAACTCACTGCCAGGGTTGGGTCACAGGGAGGATCACAGACCATCTCCTGGTGGAAGGACCCACATGGCGGTCCCACCTTTCCTGCTGTTACGCGTTCTCTTGCCTGGGATGCTGCGAGCCCTGCAGGCGGGGGCTGCGTCTCCTTATCCTGGAGCACCTGCTGCCCGGCCTGGCACGCATCCCGGATCTCATGCGCAAGGTACACGGGGACAGCCTGCTCTCGGGGAGGCAGCAAGCTTAGGGGACCTTACTGTGTGACTTCAAGCGATTCCCACCCTGCAGACCCCAGCACCCCGAAAGCAAACAGGGAGCATCTACCTGCCTCGGCCCCAGCTCCAAGACCCCTCCAAACTGTCTGCTAGGGGGCCGCCAACCCCACTGCCTGCTGATGGCTCCAGCAGTAGCCTGGAACCCGTCATTGTGTAAGACCAAAAAAGCAAAGTGGCTGGCATTCTTTCCACATGAGTACCAAGGCATATTTTTAACCCATCAAAACACAAAATACCAACACTGAGGAGCTCGGCTGAAGAGCTGCAGGGACCATGTCTCTAGCGAGACGTGCAGCAGAATGGCCACGTGTGGCCTTCTGCCCCAAACGCTCTAATCTGGCCCCACTCTGCTCCCCTCCCTGGGGTGAGGGGCAGCCCCACCTCTGAAACAAGCCCCCACAGGAAGGCTTAAAGTTGCTCCAGCACCTTCTGACCGGAGCCTTCACACTAGAATCCCAGCCCCGGCGAAGAAGCAGGGATGCCCACAGGTTTCACACACGAGGGTGTCTGACGTGGCCACACTTTCTGGCACCGTCCAGAGGGGAGTTAAGAACATTACATCCCCTCGGCACAGTGCTATCCTACAAAAATGTTAGCCATGACCCCATATACAAATAAACATTTATGGTCAAGGAAAATGTTGGTATAACACTGTTAAGCCAGATTTAAAGCAGCATGAGAATTATCCTGTCTCTTCAGAATGAAAACGACATCTACCTGCAGAAAAAGATGAAAGACAAAATACTGGCTCTCTCTGGGTAGAGGAATTATGAGTGGTTTTATTTTATTCTTTTTTCTAATTGTATTTCCCTAATTTTCTATAATAAACGTATAAGGTGTTTGAAACGAAAACAAAATATATTTTACAACCTGCCTGTGACTGAGCTCTAAGGGAAAGGGCCCCGGGGGTGACCCAGCATCTGGAGTGTCTGCTCCAGCATGGCCTGGCCCAGCCCTCTGGCAGAGGGCTACTCCTCAAGACAAGGGCACAAAGCCCTTGGAGGCTCCCAGATACCTATTTTTGCCCCAGAGTATTAAGGGCCAAACCAAGGAACATTCCGACACCACTCGATGTGCCAAGTTCATAGAAACAAAGTGGGAGGCAAGTTGGGAATGCCCCAGTCCTTCATCAAGGACAGCCACTAGCGTCTGCTGAATGGCCGAGTCTGTACTACACACCTGCTCTGAGCCAGGCCCCGATGGGTCAGCAGACACGGACTGGGGGCTGATCCTTCTCCAGGCATGGCGCTGGGCCTCCCTGCCCCAGGCAGCAATACAGCTGGCCTTGGAGCGCTCACACCCAGTGGGAAGGATAACACCTAAACTGACAACTACAAAGACGAGCAGCATCTGGGACGCAAATACCCAGTGGGGGAAGGGGGTCTTGCTAGCCTTAGGAAGGCAGGGGAGGGACTGTGGAAGAGAGGCCTTGACTCAGCGTTCAAGTCAAGCAGGTGTGAGCCAGGTGAGGGTAGAAGGAAAGAGGAATGGAGGAACGTGGGCATTCCAACAGGGGACTGTCCTGGAGAAAATGCAGTGGAGGGAGAGTGACCAGCCGTGTGGCCAGGAAGGTGTAGGTGGCTGGGAAGTGACCGCTGGGGAGGGGACACAGGAATGAGAGAAAAGTCTGTGTGGGCAGAAAGGGCAGGTCCCAAGGGCCTGAAGGAACTCCGGGCTTTGGAGGCAGAGCTGAGCCTAGGGCCAGAAGGAGTTAGGGAGGACAGTGCTGAGCAGGGAGGTGACAATTAAAGAACCACCGGGGTGGGGGGGGGCGCCTGGGTGGCTCAGTGGGTTAAACCTTGAGCCTTCAGCTCAGGTCATGATCTCAGGGTCCTGGGATTGAGCCCCATATCGGGCTCTCTGCTCAGCGGGGAGCCTGCTTCCTCTTCTCTCTGCCTGCCTCTCTGCCTCATTGTGGCCTCTCTGTCTCTCTCTCTGTTAAATAAATAAATAAAATATTAAAAAAAAAAAAAAAAAGAAAGAAAGAAACACCGGGGCTGTGTGGGGACAGGATGGGGAGCCCAGGGATGGGGCTGGGTGGCCATCTGGGGAAAGGTAAGGAGGCCTGGACCAGGGCAGGCATCTGACTGCAGCTCTGGGGCTGGAAGAGACAGGAGTATTGCCAACTGAATGTGAGGGGTGGGGGAGCAGAGGGTGACTTGGTTTGTGTCTGGGGGCCAGCACAGCAGTGCTACTTTCTGAGGTGGGGACATGGGAGAGGGCGAGAGCCATATAAAGCATAAAGTTCCCTCCCTGTTAGGATTCTTATCATCGCCATCACAGAGCAGGGTTTGGTCTCTGTCCTAGGGCTTAGGCACCTCTGGGAGTGGGGGGCAGGACTGAGCTGGAGTCCCCTCTTTGACCAGCCCCCAAGGCCTGTCGAGCCCTGGTGTAGGAGGGGCTGGGAAAGCGTGAGCAGGGAGCCCCCCTCCCCCACAGTCTTCCATCCTGGGAGAGAAGGTGTGATGTGGTCTCCCAGCAACCTTCCCTGTGCTCAAAGGTCCATCTGCTTGGGGGCGTGGGGGGTGCAGGGGTGCAGCAAAGGAGTGGTTTTATAAGCGAAGTTTCCTCTAAATCTCTGGTCAGACACCACGGGGCTCCCATGAGAAGCCCATCCCCTTGGAGACACCGGGCCAGGACCAGGCAGTGGAAAGCATGGCCTCTGGGCTTCTGCTGACATGGCACCCTTGCTAGGGCCGCAGTAAGAACAGGCGACCAGCACAGAGGTCCCCAGGGCACTCTGCAAGTGACAGATCCTACCAGAAGGGAAAGCCCTTCACAAACAGGCCAAATGCCAGGGTCACTGTCCAAGGTGAGGAGAGGCAGGACGGGGCTTGCTTTCAATGCAGATCCCAGGCGGAAGGCTTCCGCCAGGCTCTATGTGGTCCTGGACAGGTCACTCGTCCCCAGGGAGCCTCAGCTCCATCATGTGTCCACTGGGGCTCTAACTCCCACTCCTGTAAGACTGGGGTGGGGGAGGGGACTGTAAATCTGGTACAACTGTTAGCTCCTTGGAATTCTCAGCATCAACTACAAGAACTGCGCGGGGCGGACATGGCTCCATCACATCCCAAAGGGCCGGGCGAGATTCCTCAGAAAGTTTCCATCGGTCACAATGGAAATTCATGGCGCGGAGGGCCAGCCAAGGGCCGGGTTCACCGGAGCCAAGCCGGGACCCAGAGGGACTGCCCCTGCCCATCCCCTTACCTAGGAGCAGCCTAGGGGACAGTGAGCCCCGCATTGATTCTAAGTGGGTGGTGGGAGCTTCAGCTTGACCCAGGGGCTACCCCCCCATCCCGGCGGGCCGGGTCCCCGGTGTGGGCTGGACCCCCGCCGATCCCGCGGCCCCACCCGCACCCCCGCGGGCACTGAGGGCCGCCCTGGGTGCCGCGGAGTCCGGCCGACGGCCGCGGGGGAAGGGCCATGACGGGGCACCTCGGGACCGGCGCTGCGGGACGCAGGGTGGGGCGTCTCCGGCCACCCTCCCGCCATCCGCGGGCCCCCCGGGGCTACGGCCGTTGGCCGCTCGGTGCCCGCCGCGCGCGGGGCTCCGCGACTCCCGAGGGGGCTCACCCCTCCCCCGGAAGTCCCAACCCAGGCCCCGGCGGGGGTCGCCGCGGGGGTCGTCGTGCGGGCGGGACCCCAGCCGCTCGCCTTCTGGGGACCTTGTGCGGGTGATCCTGGGGGCAGCCGCACAGATGGAGAAACTGAAGCCCGAAGCGGGCGGGGCCTCCCGGCTCCCTTTCCAGTCCCCCGCGCGGCTGTCCTCCGCCCCGAAGTACTCACCCGGCCGCGAGTGGGCCGCACGCGACTCCGCGACGCCTTCGGGCCTCCCGGCCTGTGGCAAAGTTGTTCGCGAGGAGCCGGACACCTAGAGGCGGGAGCTAAGACGCGGGGCCGAGGGAGAGACGCGACCAGCTGAGGGAGCGGGCGAGCGCGGCCCTCCGCGGAGGGGCGGGGCCGGGGGCGGGGCCGCAGGCCGCGCTCCACTCCCGATGGGGCTCGGAAGACCCGGCGCCGGCTCGGTCCTCTGTGCGGCCGGTAAGACTGCCAATCATCTCGTGTCTCCGCCAATCACGAGGCGCCTCGCCTGGTTACCGCCGACCGTCCCCTGGTGTAGCCTGGCCCGAGGGCGCCGGGCGGGGGGCGGGTCCGACCCGCCCACAGCGAAAGTTTCCTAGCGGAGTCGGCCCCGGCCCGGCCCACCGCGTGCTGGCCCCGCCCCACCCCGCCCCGCCCCGCCCGCAAGGTGTTCAGTTGCAGAGGGAGGCGCTGTGCTTCTCCATCTGTTAACAGGTGGTTGGACTCTTGGACAAGACTCAGGCCACCTTTCAGCCACCACTCTGGCCGCAGAGCCCCCAACTTCAGATTCATAATCACTGCTATTGCAGTATTAACTAACAATTGAGGGCCTGCGGTGCGCTAGACCCCTTAATCCCAGCCGTGCCAGAGGCAAAGAGGGCTCCCCTGATACAGCAGCAGGGAAGGAAAACTATGGCCCATTTAAATGCGTACAAGTAACCAAGTACAGCTTTAAATGCACGCAATCAAATGCAATGTCGCACGCTTTTCACAAGGTAATTATGGGATTCACCTTAAAAAATACATTAACGGGGGTGGGGGGGATGACGCAAGGCTCAGGCAGTTTTGGAAACCCTCTTCTTTCAGTCCTGCCCTATGTCTGAGGAGGTGTAGTTTGGAGATGCGGGGGAAGGTCCTTGGGAAGATGAGGTCCTGGCTGGTGACCCACCCTGGGCTGTGTCTGCTCTGTGTCTGGTCCTCACAGCCAACCTGGGACGCCTGTCCTTGGTCATGGCAGAAGCTGCCTCAGAGTGGCTGTCAGAGATCTGTTACCAACATGTGGGGAGCAAAGATCCCGGTTGGTTTGGGAGGTGGACTCTATATACCGAACACACAGCACTGGGTGCTTTAGTCAAAGCTGTGTGATTCACATGTCACCTCATCTGATTCATCAGCTGTGCCCCTCGATGTTAGCCCATCTCATCTGAGGCTGTGAGGCTCGCAGGGGAAGGAAGGAAATGGGCATGGAGCAGCACCTGCTCAGCCCCAAGTTCAGTTTTGGGGGACTTTCATACATTGAAGTTTTTCACTGTACCCCTAATGAGTATAGCACTGAGGCAATGCCTGGGGCTCATTTTTACTGATGAGAAAACGTCTTTTTTGTCTCTTTCTTTGCCCCTTGAGGAAGGCTTTGCCATTCCATTGCTAAGCTTCTAGAGCATGATCTTAGTTTCTGGCCTGCCCTCCCTCCAATTTGTGCTCTCTCACTATCAAATAAATAATAAAATCTTTAAAAATAATTTAAAAAATTTAAAAATCGTTCAAACACTATTACTGTCCGTGGTTTCGGATCTATGCCTATGGAAGAAAGGGTTTCCAAAGGTCCCTGCGTTCCCACTGCATGTGTGTGTGTTTGCCTATTTCATTAGGGCCAAATCCTAGAAATAGAACCATGGATCCTGATAGGATTTTTCAGGTCTCTAGATACAGTTTTACCAAAACAGATTTCTCAATATTGTTTCCACTTCACGTCTGAGAGGTGTACACTGGCATGGGGAACTAATTTTTCAACCCCTTTCTTATTCCAGTAAATGAAAAATGGCCTCCCTGCCTTTGTAATCTCCATTTCCATGCTAACTAATGAGGCTAGACTTTTCATGTTCCTTAAGTTTGGTTTTTTTTTTTAATATTTTATTTATTTATTGGATAGAGAGTGAGAGAGCATGAATTGGGCAGAGGGGAGAGAGGGCAAAGCAGACTTCCCGCTGAGCAGAGACCCTGATGCAGGTGGGGCTTGATCCCAGGACTCCAGGATCATCACCTGAGCCAAAGGCAGACACTTAACCAATTGAGCCACCCAGGCACCCCTCATGTTTCTTAATTTTGATAATCATCTGCTTTCTCATTCATCTATTGGGTTCCTTAGGCCCTTTGAAAACTCATGAGATGCGTTCTTTTATTTCCAGCCTCCCTTCTTTACCACCTGTCCTCCCCTTGAGCTGGTAAGATGGGGGCCGACCTGAATAGCTCATGCAGCCCACCCTTGGGGCGAGCAGCCCTCTTCACACCTGGGAGGGTGGGAGCAGACAGGCCTTCTCCAGTGACATGGGAGCGCCTTGCCATCGCTGTCTTCATCGTCTACAAGAACATAAATGACTCATCATTCACCCTCTTGCTGGTTGATCACCGCCCCAGAGACCACCATCGCCCTGTCCTCACAGACCTGACAAACAATAACAGAGAGACCAAGACATTCCCCTTTGAGGGGACACAATACGCAGAGGAAAAGGACAGGTTGAGCAGCCCAGGCCGAGCCTGCACACACTTAACACACTCTGTGGAGCAAAAGGCCTTGAACGTTGTCGGTGGATTCAGAAGAAACATCGAAGCGAGGAAAATGAGCCAATGGGAAGATAACATAGAGGAAACGCCTTGGAGGGTGGAGGAAAAGCGCGTGAAAATCCTGGAGAAAACGAGAGGTTTCGGGCAGTTCCAGGAGGGAGAACACTCACCTCCTGGGAGGACCGAGAAGGAGCTGGTGGGCAGACAGGAGTGAAAGAAAGGAGAAAGTTTCCAGAGGAAAATGTCTCAGGCTGCAGCTCTCTGCTGTGAAGGCTCCAAGTCCTGGAAGGGGAGACCATGTCTTGCAAAGTTCCAGAAAGAGCCAGTCCCAGACGAAGGCAGGAGAATCAGCATAGTGCCTGCACTTTGGGAACCTCGAAACAACCCAGGGACTCTGATGATCTGATCAAGGAGCCCTCCCCCTGCTGTGATGGAATTCCTCTGCTGGGGAAAAGGAAAGAAAATATCCCAGTCGATAAGACACACAGGAAGATCCCTTTTATCCACAGGAGGGCCCCTCTCACCAAGACAGCTCAACTACAGTAGAGATCTCAAGATAGAGCACAGAGAACAGATAATGCTGGTGGACAGTGACCCTTGCAAAATACTCGATTTAATCTGAATATCCCTGGGATTTTGTATGATAACTGCTAAGTAAGGATTCTTGAAATTTGTGCCTCGCACTGTAAGAGAAACCCGTATTCATCTGGGAGTAAACATAGAATCAATGTCAGCCACCCCGGAGCAAGGGGCCACAGAGAGATTGGAGGGACATCCTGGCATCTGGTGGCAGGGAGAGGAAGGGAGCAAAGGGCTTGCTCTGGTGCGAGCAGGAGGGGTGGGGAAGGAAGAAGCTCGTGGGGGAGTGCTGTTCCTGCTTACTTTTCATACATTCACGGGGGAGTATCGGTGTAATTATGACTATCAGGAGCTGGAAGAGGCGGGGGGTGGGGAGCAGGTGAGGGTGTCGAGAGTGAGCAGGGAAGGAAAATTAAGCAAGGAAGAAAGAAGGAAATGACAGCAATAACAAAGTTCAGTCCAAGTAAACACAAAGGGAGGTGAAATAAATAAAACCACGAATATCGGCTTTCATACAAAATGGGGATGGGCTGAATTTCCCATCAAAAGCCTCTAAGGCTGGGGTGAAGATAAAAATCCAGTAAAATGCAATTTGCAAGAAATGCTGCTCCCCCAAATGATGAGAAATAGAGGCCCCAAGTGCACACCATTTGAAAATTGAGATTAAAAAATGACAAGAATGGCAAATTCGTCTTGCATAAGGAAGAATTCAAGGCAGAAAGTATTCACAGGAACAAAGACAGATATTGCATAATGGTGCAAGGTACAATCCACAAAGATTCAATAATCATAAATCTGAATGTACCAGAAATACAGTGGCTGTGATGTGCTGTATTTTATGTGATGGTATCCAGCTGTGGTCAAAAACCAGTCTAGATGTTTCTCTGAAGATACCTTTTAGATGAGAGTAACATTTGAATCAGTAAACTGTGTAAAACAGGTGACTCTCTGCAATGTGGGTGGGCCACATCTAATCAATTGAAGTACTTGCGAAAGTAAGGCTGAGGTCCCCCAGTAAAGGAGAATTTTGCCAGCAGATGGCCTTTAGGTTTGAGCTGCAACATCAGCTCTTCCCTGGGTCTCCAGTCTGCTGTCCTGCCCGGCAAGGTGGATTGGCCAGGCCCCACAATCCCATGAACCAATTGCTTAAAATATTTTTTTTCTGTCTTTAGTGTGTGTGTGTGTGCGTGCGTTGTGTAGGTCAGGAGGCCTGTCTTCATACCCACAGAGAGACAAGCCCTGAGCTTTGCTGTTGAGTTCTGGATGAATGATGAATGAATGAATGAATGAATGAACAGACAAATGAGTTGCCCTATGCAAAGAACTCACAACTGCCCTCAACACAGTGTTCAGACTCTTGAATGCGACATCTAAATATGCCTCCTACACTTCAGCCCTCTGATTTTTTCTACCCGCGGTCAGAGTCTGCGTTCACAACCCTGTCCCACTTCCTTCCCTACTGCTGCTTAATCCTTCTCAATTTACGCAAGAGATCTTTATCAACGTCCTACCCATTCCAAGCCTTGGGCTGTACACCAAGCCTACTAAGAAAAGTGAAGAAGGAGATTTGGTGAGTTATTTCTGGAGGAGAGCAGGGTTAAGGGCTTTTGCAGACCATCAATGCACTAGACCGAAAACGACCCCCAGAGATCTAAGCCTACTTCCCGGGACCTGTGCATGCTGGCTAATTTGAGAAAAGGTGGTTGCAGATGTGATTGGATTACATATCCCTGTGGTCACACGAGATGGGGCAATTCTCCTGGATTCCGAGGCGGGCATCTAGATGCAATCACAGGTGTCCTTCAGGACAGAAGTGGGGGCTGGGGGGATCCATGACACACACAGACAAGGCAACATGAAGATGGACCAGGAGACATATGGAGATGACAGCCTTGAAGATTGGAAGGATGGGACCCTAAGCCAAGGAGAGCCTGCTGCCACAAGAAACTCGAAGAGGCAAGAAACAGATTCTCCTTAATTTTTTTTGGCTCAGTGATCCTGAATTCAGACTTCTGGCCCCCAGAA